AAGTTCTGATTTCATGTCGTAGTCATTATGTTGTTAATTTCTTGATAGAGGCCTAATTCCTTTCTTCAGTTGTCTTGACTGTAATTTGATTTCCATATATCTCATGAAAGAAGCTAAAGCTACATTATTAGACTTTGATAGTGCAACAGATCATTACAATATTTAGTCAAAGGATAAGCTCAACATTGATGCAGCGCTTTGTAATTTTCTTCGAGCCCACAAACGGCTATGGGACCTATGCTAAGGCAGAAAAAGGAACCTACACTGAAATCAGTCCAAAGCATTTTAGTTCTTTTGGCTAACTATTCTTTCAAGAAGATATACCTCAAAGAGTTATTAGTCCTTCAATCTGAAAAAGTGGAAGTGCTTGTTTGAGAAGAGTTTGCAATAGATGTTGGAACTTGAAAATGATCTTGGAAAACCTCTATTCCCCTAGGACCATCATCCATGAAGCTTCCTGAGCTTTATTTCAGCAACAACTAATACATTAGATATGTAGTTCAGTGCGGTTCAAGGAGAACATACAGAGACGACTCTATAATCTACAACCATATCTCATCCAAACTGAAATATGTCAACTCTGAACATAAGGGAGATTCGCAGCAACCACTGAACCACATCTACAGAAATACCCAATCTGAAATAATTAAACATAGTCAAGAAATAATATTTTTAATTAAGAATCTATGTCTAGCCAAAGGAAATTTTGACTATATTGAATAGGAAAAAAAATCACCAATCAAGAACTTGTCATCAGGAAAGCAATAATGAAAGAAGAAAACTTCCCTTAAAATCATTAGTTCAAAGTTTAAAAAATCGTATAAACTAAATCAAGTGGATGATTCGTAAGAGTATTAGAACTTCTGAAACAGGACAAATGGTTCCAACTTCCAAGAACTTGTACAAAGCCTTTTAAAAGAAAGTCTTTTATTCCATTTTAAAAGAAAAAGCCTTTTAAAAAAAAAATTAGTCGCCAAAGTCTAAAACAGAAGGAACAGAAGGAATCCAAAACTTCAATAAGAAATCCAACCGTTGGGTTCAGATTTTCTAGGCATAAAAGAAAAACCTGGGATGCTTGTGTTGTGCCTGGGCCGCCTGGCTTGTGAGTTATGGCTTCGAAGATGAGATGAGACAGAGAGGCGAGAGTCTTTGAGATCGAAGGGGACGGCGCTGTTAATAGAGAAAGTTAGAAAGAGGTGTAAGTTGGAGGCCTTAGGGTTTAATGGGTATATATATTTATATTTATATAAATATATATATACTTAACGGGTAAACGGGGACAGGGCAGGGGTAAGAGTAAGTCCATCCCTGCCTTCATCCCCGCACAGGCTTATATGGATATTTTCGTATACGTCCACCGTTCAATACGTATAATCCATCCCCGATTCAAACGGGATGGATTTGGACGAATACTCATTTTTCTCCGGTTCACTACCATCCCTAAGTACGATAAAATTTACTATGATGATGGAACTCGTCGGTGTTATTCCTACTGTGACCGACAGGGTGATGGAACCCAACAAAGGCCCCGAGAAACCAACAAGGGGAGTTCTGACGGGTTGCAATCTCTCTTTGCCCAGATGAAAGCTATCAAAGATTAGTGCAAACAGAATATCGGTTGAACTGACGTTGTCGATCAAGATCCTCTTAACCTGGTAGGATGGAATCATCCTGTATCTGGAATAGGATGTGCTCCACTGAGGTGTTGAGTGGCGTGAAAAAGTTGTTGTTCTCTCAGGGGTACGAGACCGAGACGGTCCTTGATAGAGAACCTCTCGGTTCTATTTTTCTTGTTCTCCACCTCCTGCTTATCTTCGCGGGTGTCTTTCCTTTTTTCCCCTCCTCAAGAAGACTCACCTCGATGGGCCTTGGTGACATCCTCGGCATTCATGTACTTTTGTGCCCTTGACAGCAGCTCAAGTATGTTGGAGAGCAACTTTTTTAGGACAGAGAACAAAAAGTTAGAGGAACGGAGACTAGCAATAAAGAAGGTCAATGTTACCTTATCGTCTAGCTTCTCAATCTGAAGAGTCTCCTTGTTGAAAAGAGTGAGGTAGTTCTTGAGGCTTTCATCCCGGTTCTACTTGATAGTGAGCACGTGGGTAACAGACTTCTGATGTCGGCGTCCCCCTATGAAGTGGGAGACAAAAGATTTACTCAGCTCCACAAAGGAGTGGATAGATGAGGGTTTGTTCTTCGCAAACCATTGTCAAGCAAACCCCTTCAAGGCAATGGGGAAGGCTCTATACATGATCTCATCAAGAATGTTGTGGAGTTGCATGAAAGACTTATAGGTGTCAAGATGATCAAGAGGGTCCTTGGTACCATTGAAGATCTCGATGGCAAACATCTTGAACTTCGAGGATCGGGGTAATTGATAATATCTACAACGAACGGGGTATCAGTGCACCTTACCAAGTAATCCACCGTCTCGGGCGCCTATGCTTTGATGGCATTAAGGGCAACACCAAACTGGTTTTGCACCTTCCTGATCTTCCCGTCTCATTGGTTGGGGACATCCTCCGTCGGGTCATTGTAATGGCTTTCATGATCAGCATACTGGCTTTCTCCCTCATCCTCTTGCGCACGTACATGATCAAGTGGAACATGTGAGCTTCTTGCACGTTGAGGGGCACCCTGGCATTGCCCCGAGGGCATTATGGCGAGGGGCCACACGATGGGGGGCCGTTTGGCACCCAGAGTGGAGAGGTTGTTATGCTTCTCCTGTTGGAAAGAGTGGTGCTCCTCCTAAGGGCTGAGGGGCGACACCTCCCAAGGTGAGCATTAACTGGATGATTTGCTAATTCTAGTTTACCAGCAGCTGCATGGTCTATAAAAGTTGTTGCTCGACCACGGGAGTCGCCGTAGTGGATGGTTTCGTGGTTGCAGGTGGAGGCAGAGCCTCCTCCCGGCGGGCCAGGTTGTTGTCTCCAATTGTTGATTCATTGACCTAGTCGTGATTGCCATAAAGTAGCAAGGTAGTAGAAAATTTAATCGTTTCCCACAGACGCCATCATACTGATGATGTACAAAATAATCTCATGCAAGAACAATAATCGAGTGTGTGACAGGGTGTAATTAATGGACAATTAATAAAGTAATCAATGACAATAATGTAAATATTAAGTGAATACACAGATATATAGTGGTTCGGTCTAAATAACCTACTCCACTCTAAAAAACGACAACGGTGGCCGGGGATTTTTATTGATGAAATAAGGTGAACGGGAGAGAGAACAATGGTTAGCTCTATGAGAGATACAATAGCTAGGAGAGAGAAAAGTTATGTGTGTGTAGAGAAGTATAGAGGTAGAGCTCAATGTGTCCTCTTATTTAGAGATGACTTACAATTTATAAGCACACAGGGCCTTGATTAACCCAGTGACTTAAGGCAAAAACACTAATTCTCCGGATGGCTACAAAAAGGTAATTATCATAAAAGATTGTCTTGATTTTCGAAAGTGAGTATCCCGATAATTACTCCTCACATGTTCTAGTTCTTCTTGAACTCCTTTGAACTTGGGCTGGGTCGAATTTACGAAATGAGTTTGACCTGTCCTTTAACTGATTTGGACTTACTTGATTTATTGGATCTGACCAGGTTAGATTAGATTTGGGCTTGTTAGTAACATCATCGTTATACTAATTCTCCAAAAATATTTTTTTTCTTAAATTTCTAAGTTCAAGATTAAGAAAACCCAATTGGATACCAACAAAGAGGAGGGAGGGATTGGCATGACGTGGGTCATTTGGCCAAGCTTTGAAAGTTGGACTTTTCGGTCAATGTTTCATCCAATGGATATTTGCCACGTTTCAAACACCGAAGGTTACGTACGTTCATTGCATTTGCGAGACTTATTAATTGCAGTTAAGCGGTCGTAAGCTTTCTTAATCCAGATAATGAAAAACTTCCTTGTTAAGGGAGTTCAGATTCTATCCGGGGGTCCCATATTTCTCATATTTTTCATTCTTTCCCTTTACAAATTCTTAATTTTGTATTTACTCTCTGTATTTTTCAAACTTTCTTCCAACTTATTAATTTTTGTTTGGATAGGTGCCAATTAGATTAATTTTTGAACTTTTTCGGGATTTTACTAAACACTTGAGATCGATTCCAAGTTTTGGTGACGACAAGATGATTATAAATAGAAAAGAAATACCTTGTAATTTGTTGTCTTTTCTGGTGGGTATTTTTTTTTTTATTCAATTTATCTTAGAATATGATCACCTCTTGATATTTTAAATAAAAGAAAATTTTCAATCAAAGTGTAGGATATTGTGTGTGTGTGATTGATAAAGAGAAAAGGTGGGAGAGAAAGAGAACAGAGGGGAAAAAAAAAAGGCATAGAACATTTGGGTACACGTATCCTTGCATGCTACTCAAAAATAAAGAGTAAATTAGTTTTTAGAGATTATTTTTTATTGATGTTAATTTCTCTTATGATAAAAAGGGTTAGTTTCTTTTTTTTTTTTTGAAAATTTTGTTAATCAATATCAAGAGATTATTGTGTTTCTTTCACAAAACTTATAACTTCCTATATTATTTATTTCAATCTCCAAGTCTAACTCGTTGTAACTCTTCTTTTCGGATCAAATAGTGTGAAAACTAATAAAGCATGAATGCTCTATCAAAAGGAGTGACCAATGTTACTACAACCTCACCTCAATCACTAGTCCGCCTTTTGACATTCGCTTTGTCTACGTAAGCTTTGAGGTATAGGAAATTATATCATCTCTATTGAATTAATGATTGATTGCTTCTTTTTTTTGTTTTTTCTCATGTTTTTGGCTCGTGAAAATGGCCGCCCTGACCTTCCATTTGTCTTTGTCCAATTTATTCATTTAAAAATACATTAATGCAGAGGCCAAAATGCAAAACAAAAAATCTGTTGGGGGGGAAATAAAATATAATAAATGTAAAGGGTATCTTTAGAAAACCAACAGAAAGTAGTAACGCCTGCAGGGACCACCTCAGCAACTGAATACTACCACCATGGCCAGCTCTCTTTCTCTCTCTCCCACTTGCCGTTGTTCCTTCTCTATCTATTCACACACACACACCTTTGCCCCTGCAGAGGCGTTGTACATGCATATGAATCAATCGAGTGAAGAGGAAAAGAGATGATAAAGGAGAGAATGTTGAGGTTGCATAGGCACAAGTCATCATCTGATAAATCTGGAGACAGAGTCCTATTTAATTTCTCCAACATTCAGGCGCTTCAGGTGTCTCCCTCTCTCTCTCTCTCTCATAATTTTCTTGTTTACTCATATAGATTCTGTAATTACTCCGCTTTTTCCATCTCTGCGTGCTGTTCCATTGTGACGATATTCAAGTTACAGTAATTTTTCCCTATTTGATTCATCTATCAATCTCTTGATATTGTTTCAATTTGTTTGCTCTTTTTCTTTTCCATTTGTTGTCAAATTAAGTAGCAACCTTTTGGCGCACATACACACATGGTAATAGAGACACACACGTTTAGTCTTATCTATGCTGCTCTGGAACAACATGTGTTGATTTTAATTCTCTGACAACTAGGCTGGATTATGGTTTTTTAACTCTTTTTAAATATAAAATGTGTAAGGCTATAAAAGCAATTGCATTTTTTACTCAACATTGTGACACCAGCAACGATTGGTATTTTCTTCATATTGATCGGTAGATCAATATTACAATGAAGAATTCATCATTATAATTTTCGAATAATGTATTTATAGAATATAAGAAAGTACCCATAGAGTAGTGAATAGAAGTCCAAAAGATTGCAATTTGAGCAAATATCTGAGTTTGCTCGGAGTACTCTATACCAAATTAAACTTTTTACTCAAATTTGAGTCTAAATTTGAGTCATAGTTGGAGATGCTCTAACTAGGCTAGGCTCATCTGGTTGCAAAGATTGGCATTTAAATATGTAGTTATCTTATTTGAATTTTTTCCCCCAATTGTTAGCCACAGAATATAACCCCTTGCATCCACCCAAGCCATGTCTGACATGCCTACCTAGTTTTGACTCTTTTTTTTAGTTCCACCATTACCAACTAGGCGAACACGCCAATTACTTATTGGATTTGATACATGCTCTTTTATTCTGCTAATAGAAAATATAAATTTTGGATGTCAATGTTTAAGCCAATGAAAGGAAATAGTGCTGGGAAATCATTAAAGACTTTATTGAACTTTGGCCTATCAATCTCATGGATACTTGTTAACAAGAATCAATTTACAGAAAAACAAACTTACCCCAAAATATGTACACAAACTCTAGTTTTGTTTTGAGTTATTAGGAAGAGGATGCTCTCACTTGAATCATGTCATTGCATAGACAGCTAGTGACCAGTTGCAAAGATTACTTGTTCCTCATTTCATTTTCATTTTCTTATTTGATGGGGATAATTGTGTATTGGGTTTCCTGGATGCTTTATCTGCATTGCAATACCATCCAAGCTCCTAGGTTTCCTTACCGAGTCTCTTTTTTGGGTTTAGGTGGCCATGGAACTTTTTCTCCCATTCTTTTTGGTGGTAGTAGCATACTATTATGATTAACAACAACAAATATTCTAACCAGCAAGTAAAGTATTATAAGATTCAAAAAAAAAAATGATCAGTTGCGCAATAATCACCAATTTCTAGAAATTAATGCTAGAATTAAAAATACTGGATCTCTTCAACTACTTCTAACCAAGGGGTAAACTTAAAGCTACTTCAAATTTTGTACGCATTCAAAAGATGTGGGAGTTTTGAAGCATGTGCAACACTTATCTTTGTGTATCATGGTAAAACTTAGGGCCAATATCTATCAACTTATAGGAAGATTAACATTTCTAGTAGTATGCCTAATATTATTCACCGGCCATTTGTATTTGTAAGACAGTCAATGTAGGGATGCTCCTTTTTTAGGATCTTTCTTTTTCGTTATTGGATTAGGAAGTCATCGGGTAAATCAAGAATGTCTAAGTGGCAAATTTTTTATTGGTCTCTAAATGCTACTTGGTTTCACTGATTTGTGTATTTCCAAATGATTCCTTGCAGTATCAAGCAGATATTTGACATGGCTTGTGCACTTTCTGATTCTAAATATCTGATTGTGCTCAGTGAATTACAATGGCTTTGTCAACTGTTTCTATAATTCAACACCAGCCTTGAACCTTCCAACCCGATCACCAAGTTTGTGAGGGAGGGAACCGGACAAAAAGTAAAGGTGGTTGGGGGTGGAGATCCTTATATTCCATTGGTCTGACTATAGATTGTGTAATCTTAAGAGGTGAAATTTTTTGCTTAGTAGAAGGATTTCTGTCACACTCAGGTTTAAAGCTATACTCCATCTCCAACATGAAATAATATTAGATAAGTTTACATGCATTCAGATGGGATGATTGTACAGTTGCAATATAGTAGCCCCATTTCTGAACTTAGGATTTATATAAGCTGTCTTCAATATGAATATTTTAGTCAACTTCCTTAAGTACTCCTTAATATTCATAAAGTCGAGTTCCTTCACTACTCTGGCTCATTCATCTATCAATATTTGTTTGAATCCACCTTGAAGGACATTATGGTTGTGAAATTTGGCCTCTGACAGCAAACAGAAAAATAGAGGTCTTCTAATCAATAAATTGGTTGAAAAGGAAAATCTGTAAAAGAACTTTTAATCTGAAAAAGAGCCACTTGGAAAACACCATCAATAATTCTTTGAGACCTTCTCTAATTGTGGTCATTGAGCATAATTTGTATCGAGTAGGACATGGTGCTAACCAATCAAATTGTTAAATGAAACTTAGAAACCTATTTTCAGTGGCAGGTTGCCTTATGCTATTGTCTTGCTTGCCTAGAATTGTTCTTTCCAGTTTCAGATTTTATCCAAGCTTGCTTGTTTGTTGGATATTTTATCTGCATATGCTTACAACATATTTTGGGCTTGCAGGTACCCAAAGGGTGGGACAAACTTTCTGTATCTCTTGTTTCCACAGAAACAGGAAAAACTCTAAGCAAATCAGGTAAAGGATCAGTGCAGAATGGAAGTTGTCGATGGACAGAGACTTTATCAGATTCTATACGAATCTCCCATAATGATGCTTCAAGAGATCTGGGGGAATGCCTCTTTAAGCTTCTTGTTGCCATGGTATGATGCCTATATTGATCTTTCATGTTTCACTTGAATCTGATAAGCTGTGTAGAAAGCATATTTTTCTCTCTTGTTTCTTCCTTTATTCTCCCCATCTAATTGATGAATGAGCCCACCTTATATGATGTGATAATCTTAGGGATCATCCAGATCCGGTATACTAGGAGAGGCTACAATCAACCTGGCAGGTTACATGACTTCAAAAGCTTCTGTACCTGTTTCATTACCTTTAAAAAAGTGCAGTCACGGGACAATTTTACAAGTGAGTCATTCCCGAATGCTTCCATATCTTGTTGTTTATCACTGATTCTTGATGCAAACACTTTATTGGTATATCTCTCGTAGTTGATTAAACTTTGTCATCTCTAATGATCAAGATAAGTTATTGCATTACATTTATACTCAAAGAAAAACCTTGCTCTATTTTTCAGCCTTGATATTTGTGTAACCTTTTATAAAACTCATTGCTCTCATAGCCCAGAAATATTGGATAGCTCTTCTGTTGCACCATTTTGGTATGCTAACTTAGCCTTTTTAAAATTATGCGTTTCACAAGCTTGTATCGTTGTTTATGTCTCTCTATAGTACTCTTCAGAAAAATAGAGTCCCTCAAATATTTGTCAGAAGATCTAATCAAATGCTGATTGGTCTTTTGAATCAATCATAGCCTCCTTCACACTGGTGACTCTTCTATTGCAAACTTGCATCTTATGAGCATTTTTGTGACCAATTTCAGTTCCCAATATGGTTCAAATACTGTTCATATTTATTCCAGAGAAGCTTTTGAAACCTTAATGGTTTTTCTTCGTCCGAGTCTTCTTTCTTTAGGGAGTTTTATGTGTTCTCCACCTCCAGTTGTTGTCTAGCCAATTGTACCACTCCACCTAACACATGACTACATTACTCAAAGCGTAACAAGCACCATTGCAACCATGGGGGTGTACAAACCCCATGACTGATACATAAAACTGTCACCCATCTCCTAACAAGCACCAGGAGCTGCAGCAGGCTAATCTTGACTTTATCTCAATGCTCAATCAAAGCCTGTTCTGAGTAAGCACATATTCTAAATACATCATGCACTATAATGAAGGAGCAACTTTTTCAATTGGTAAACATGAATTTCATTGAAAAATTAAAATTTTCAACCAGCAAGTATGAATTTCATTGAAAACAATTTAAATCTCTTGACTGGTAAATATGAATTTTGTTGATGAAAATATATTTTTTATTGGGAAAAAGTAAATTTCATTGAAAACAAATAATTCTTTTATTTGGCTTCATTTAAAAAACTATTTTTTTACATGTAAATGTGAATTTCATTCCAACAATAAATGAACTTGCTGAAATATTTAGTTCATTGGAAGAATATTTTTTTTTGAGCTGTGAATATGAATTTCATTAAAAAAAGCTAAAGTTTTTGATCAGTGGATTTGAAATCCAATGAAAAACTAAACAAATTTATTCCCGTATTCTCTTCCACAAGAGGGGGGGGTGCTATGTCAGTGTACAGTGTACTCGTAACTATCCATAGTGTTTCTACTGCAACGTGTGCTGTTTTTTCTTGGTTTATTTTCTTTGAAGTTAGTAGATAATATAGTGTTTTTGCTCTCTCTCTCTCTCTCTCTCTCACCGGCTATGGAACCTACCATTTCTGATATTCAAATCACACTTAAATATGTTAAATCCATGGAAATCTACCCGATATTAATATATGCTAACTAATATGGTGTATCTGATTGCAAGAATTATAGTTCAACGCTTCCCTTGTTAGACCAATCTATTGATCAACAAGTCACATACTCTCAAAATCCCACTCAAAAGGACCTGAACTGGACTCCATCATCCATGTTTAACTGGATAAAGTTGTGGCTTTTGGTCTTGTTGAGATGAATATGGTGCTTTCCCTAGATTTTAGATTTCAGGTTAAACTTCAATGACTAAAGGGGATGTAATCTAATCTGTGGAACTAAAATTGCCGAAGTCTTTCTAAATCTGACCTACACCTTTCACAAGGATTTGTTACTAGAAGTAAGAATAAACTGGCTATATAAAGAGACCAAATTTGGTTTATTTATCTTTAAGCATAAGCTGCCACTGAAGCAGAAGTGTCATTGTCATTCTGTCTGCAGGTTGAAATTCAGTGCCTAACACCAAGAACAATTGTCAGGTTTGTTGTTTTAACACAAGACTTAAGTTTTCTTTGATTTTCTGCTTTTCTATGTGGTGATAAAACAGTTAGTGTCAAGCTTTCAGGGATGAGAAATGCAAAGACATGAATTCCCATGCAGAAGAGGCAAATGTGGATTATGATGACATCGAAAGCAAATCGGACATGTCTGATAATACTTTCACAAAGAGTGTTGGATCTTTGTCAAGTAACCCTTTTGGCAGTACATCTCAACCAGGAGAACTTTGTAGCAGGGTATTGTCAACATACTCCTTTTTTCAGAGCTGAGATGGATCTATCCTATGGGAACTGGGGAAGGGAGGGAAAGGAGGAGGGGATTAGTCCACCCTCCTCAACTTCTACACATCTTAGATGTTGGACAACTTGTGACCAGCAAATTTTTGACATTAGGATGTGAACTTCTTATAATATGGAAAACAAGAGAGCATAACTGTTAAATTAAACTAAAATGAAGGTTCTTCAAAATTCAATACAGAACATTGATCATACTAAAAAAAAAAGCAGTCTTGGGCATGAGGCTTCCGCTATTGTGGGATTTGGGGAGGGTCAAATCTACACGGTATTATCCTTATATGTAGAGAGACTGTTTCCTGACTCAAACTCATGCCGTAATGTTCAAGTCAGGATGTAGCAATCTTTTTATCACATTTCAAGACAATGATAAGACACTAGTTTTAAAAGGAGCGAGCAACTGAGAATTACTAGAGTAATTAAATTATCTGAGTTCATATATATATATATACATATAATAAAATACATGGGAAGTTAAATTTTATCTCCTATATATTTTTCCCACCAAAACCATCACATCACCTATTTCTATCACATGTGAGAAAATTTTATCGAATTACCTATTTCGATAAAATTTTATCAATATTTTTTGAAAAATTAAAGAGTAAAATAAATTTTGAATGATGTAATCAAAGAAATGAAAGAAAAAATTATTATTTAATATAGTGAGATCAATTTTTGGGGGGCTCGAATTTTATGTTCTATCGTGCCTTCAGGCATGGGTTATATTTAGTATATATATATTATATGTGCATATTTAATATATTATGACTTGTTTGTTTATTTGTCTTAGGTGATCAACTAAGTAGGAATTATATTTCCCTGTTACTATGTCCTTGCTATGTTTGTTTTCTGCCTTTTCTTCCAATTTATGTGTGTAGACATTTGTGTATATGCTTCACAGCTATGATGTATGCTTGAATATTTTGCTTAACTTTGATGGGGGGAATTTTCTCTGTAGGGGGGTATGAAGAGAACACTTGATGATTTTAGGGTTCCAACAAAATGTGAAAACTTATACAAGTAGAAGGGGCTTGTTTCAGAACTATCAATACTTTGAGGCAGGTAATGCGGAACTATGTGAAATATGATAGGGAATATAATCAACGAATGGAGAAAGTTGGCCAGAGGCCTCAAGAAGCACTCAATAAAAATAAGATGTCAGTTTCATTTAGGTAATAGAAAAACCAAAAAAATATAAGTAGGAGCAAATATTAAAAAGAGACTTTGGGGTCTCCAGAGTCAGGAAAACTCGCTTGGGAGAAGAGAATATTCTGAAATCTAATTTGTGAAATTTTTGTCATTTTTGGGAATTTTTTTTTTTTTTTTTGTTTTTTTTTAAGGGGGGGGGGAGCACAACCCCTGATGGCCAAGTAGGAGACCAGTTCATGTCTTGAATATTTGATTTAGCACACAAATGCGACATACTTTCTTTTTTGGTGTGCATGATCCTGATTTCCCAACTACCTAGTATATAGCCTAGGGTCACATTAGACATTTCAACACATTGATTTCAGCATTGGCCTTTATACATAATTGCTTTCTAGTCAATATCTGAAAAATGCAGCTTTTGTGGGCTGTCCATGAGCCAGGGAGCATTTCCCACAACTTCTTTCTTGCACACCAAGTTTCAGCTTTGTCAGAAAAATTATGGCAAGATTTATGCTGTAATTATGGAACCTTTCCAGTAGCCAAGTTTCGTAAAACATCTCAGTTGTGCTTTCACTGCAGATGGTCGTCCAATCCTTGCTTGTATTTGTGCTGTGGTTCCAGCAGTTCACAACCAGTGTAGTGTGTAGTATATTTACCAGCAGTTTTATCTTCATTTTTTTATCCGCAATTTTCTCTTTCTTATCGTGGAAACAGCCTCTCCACGTCCGAGAGTAAAATTTCATACATCTGACCATCCCCAGATCCTGCAGTGATGGGAGTCTCATGCACTAGCCGTCCCCTATTTTTTTTTTCTTATATCATAGCTATCAAATTAGATAGAGAATTTATTCTTATCTTTTGACAGATATCTCTTGGCACACTGATTATTCTGGTCTTTTCCACAGGAGACAAGTTTCTCAGCATCAGGTTCACATCGTAGCTTTGACTCCATGGAGGACTCTTTAGGCAGGGAAAGTTTTTCCCCTCAAAGCAACTTAAGTGGGACTGTGAGCAATATGATTGGGAGGCAAGATTCAGTGGGCTCCCAAATCTGTGCATCTTACGGCTCTTCTCATGTCTATGATTCTCCTGGATCTAGTCATTCCGCTTCTAATTCAGGTATCTCAGTTTCAGGCAAGCATATTCAGAATCCAAAAGAAGACTTTGGACGAATGTCACATGCTGTTGCTACATCACCTTTACGGAATACTAATTCCTCTAAAATCTTTTTGGAATCTGAAGAATTTAGAGCAGAAGCTAGGATATGGGAACAAAATGCCCGGAAATTGATGCTTGATTTGGAAAACTTGAGGCAGGAATTTGCTGAACAGTCAAAACGCATGGCCAACCTGGACATGGAGCTTGCTGCATCACATACAGATTGTGATGGATTGAAGCAGGAAATTGAACATCTGAAAGTTCTCTTAGAAGAAGCCACTGCTAAACAAAAAGCTAATGAGAATTTGAAGCTGCAAGCCAAAGATATGGACAAGATTCACAGGGAGTTGGAAGATGAGATAAGGTTTCAAAAAGAATCGAATGATAATTTAGCTCTGCACCTGAAGAAAACTCAAGAATCAAATGTTGAGCTAGTTTCTGTCCTTCAGGAATTGGAGCAGACCATAGAAAAACAGAAACTGGACATGGAAAAACTTTTGACCGTAAAATTGGCGTCCAATCATGCTGGAGAGAAGTATAACAATGTGCGTCAGGAAAATGGAGAAACAATTATAAGCGAGGAAGTTTCAGCTGAGAAAAAGAGGAAGGCATCGTGTGATTCATATTCTGAAGGCAATTTTGTTGATCACTCAATAACAGATTCAAACACCCTACCTGAAGCAGAGGGGATTTGGAACTTAGAGATCCAGTTACAGCAGTTGAGGGCATCACAGAATAATCTGGAAAATACCATCCTATGTCTGGAGAAAACCCTGGAAGACAAATATCAGGAGATAGAACTCCAGCAGGATCTCAACAGCAAGGCTCTACTGGATTGTGAGGCAGAATGGAGATATAAATTAAATGTAAAAGAGGAAGAAATCATCCATTTGGAAGCCAAGTTATCAAAAGCTTGCAGTGCTCAAGATCCAACAGGAATAGAGTTTAAGAATAATGGTGAACTAGATCTAACCAAAGAAGTCGAATCTCTAAAAGAAAAGATTCAGGAGCTTGAGAGAGATTGCAATGAACTCACATACGAAAACCTGGAACTTATATTTAAGCTCAAAGAATCAGGAAAGGATCATTCTACTAGTAAATCCTCTTTTAATGCTGCATCCAATGAGAATACAGCTACTCATTTTTCCAGTAATTCTGAATCTGAATTAAGCAAACTCGAGTCCCCCTTTCAGCAGGAATGTGAGATGAATAAAAAAGAAATCCTTCCTGATACAGTAGCCTCAGATCACTTGCAGATGCGATGTAGTGATCTTGAAAGCAAGTGTACACACCTAGAGCTCCAATTGCAAACTTTTGAGGACGAAGCTCGTATTCTTAATACTGAACTCCAGAAATGTCGTGCCAAAGAACAAGAGCAGGAAACTAAGATTACTGCATTGCGGCAACAAATAGAATGTCCCCAAAGAGAAAAAACTGGCAGTCAGTACCCCGATGCTGATATCTGTATGGCGTGTGAGAATACTGAACAAAAAATGTCCTCTGCTGAGAATGGATTATTCCCGGCATTATGTGAACAGCTTCAAATCTTGTTGGTCAATGTGAAGAAGCAACAGTATAGTCATTCAGCCATAAAAACTGGATGTTCATATGATAGCAATAATCTTCATGACACAAAATGCTCAGATCCAATTCTTAAAATAGAGCAGACTCAGGCTATGTTGGACAAGTTAATCCACCTGAATGAACTACTCGGATCAAAATTAGCATGCTCTCAAGATAAGTTTCAAAGTAGGGAAGAGAATATTTCAGCACGAGCCACACATGTTTATGAAGTCCAACATAAACTGGAGAGTGATGAATTGGGTGAGTATATCCTTAGTGCTTCTAGTCAAGAACTTCAAAGTTTAAATAAGGAACAGGGATCCAGGGTTGAAGATCTGAGTAATGATCTACTAGCCAAAACCTCTGAGGTACAAGAATTAAAAGCTGACTGTTTGCTGAAGGATGAAGAGATCAAGGCTTTAAGATGTCGCCAAAGGGACTTGGAAACTCAACTTTCTGATGTACAACAGATAGACCGTCAGATGGAGGAAAAAATGGATATTATGCAAAGAGACAGTAGTATCACCTCCAAAAGCTTGGACAATCTAAGGGATGATATGATGGTGCTCAGCAGCAATATGAATTCTCACATCTCGGCCTACAAGACTCTTGAAAGGGAAAAATTGGAGCTAGAAAGTGGCAAACATGAGTCAGAGCTCCACTTGTCTGAATTGGAAGAAGAAAATGTATGCCTATCAGAAAGGATATCTGGCTTGGAAGCTCAATTAAGATACTTGACAGATGCAAGGGAATCAAGTCGTTTGGAAGTGCAGCATTCAGAATCTCTTGTTATGAATCTTCTGGATCAGATCCGAAAATTAGAAAATGAAATGGAGGCACAAAAAGTTGATATGAAAGAGAAGTTGCATAATGTGCAAAAGAGGTGGTTAGAATCCCAAGAAGAGTGTGAGTATCTAAACAAAGCAAATCTAAAATTACAAGCTACGGCAGAAAGTCTCATTGAAGAATGGGGTTCCCTTCAGAAGTTGAATGGAGAGCTAAGGAGACAAAGATCAGAACTGCATAATCACTGTACAACCATGGAAGTGGAACTAAGGGAATCACGAAATGTTCTATCTGAATCTTCAAATAAAATTGAAGCTTTAGAAGCCAAATTCTCCTCAATGCTGGAGGAGATTGCCTCAAAAGAGAGAGTCTTGGTTTTAGAACTTGATGCACTCCATCTCCAAAATAAAGAACAGAAAGAGAAACTTGTTCTTGGGGAGAGATTGCTGAATCAACTGTACTTAGAGAAGGCAGATGAAGCTGAAAACCTACAACAAGTGTTAGCTCACCTCACTAATCAGATAACTGCAACTCCTGATGAAAGGGAGAGAAAAGCTTCAGAAGCTATACTTGAATTGCATACTTTACATGTGGATAAAAGTAAGCTGGAAGCAGCTCTTCAAGAAGTACAAGGCAAAGTTGAATTGTCTGAGAAGAAGCTTAATAATGTCCAGATGGAAAGTGAAACAAAGGTTCTAGAGTTGAAGAGAGAGCTTGCTACGTCCAAACAAAATCACGAAGTTCTGGTGGCTAACCATGAGAAGTTACTGGGATTGTTGGAAAATGCAAGATCTAACGAAGACAAACTTAAAGGCATCATTAAAAAGCTTGAATCAGAACTTAGGTCCACTGAGTATGAAAGACTACAACTGGCTGAAGAAACCTCCAGCCTCAAGATTCAACTCCTGAGAGTACCAGTCCTTCAAGATGAAGTTTTGGCTCTTAAGAGCTCACAAAATGAAATGAAATTTGAAAATGAAAGACTAGAAACTTCATTACAGCTGGTAGCCGGGGACTTTGAAGAACTGAAGGCTGAGAGAATTTTATTGTTGCAGAAATTGTCTGGCATGCACAATGCTGTGCCTGAATTAGAGGACTGCAGACGAAATAAAATTGCATTAGAGGAAAAGATTTTGCGGCTGGAGGGTGATCTAACTGCAAGAGAAGCATTAAATGCCCAGGACGCTGAGATGAAAAATGAGCTTGGCCGCCTTAGGAGAGCTATTAGCCAATTCCAATGGAAGATAAAATGCCTTGAAGAGGAAAAAGGAGAGAGTATAAAAGAGTTTCAAAATCTCAAAGAGGAACTGAAAAAGGAAAAAGCAGTAAAACAGCATCAAATCGAGCCTGCTACTGAGCATTTGCCGATTTATCCTCAATATAATTATACAAGTTCTATCCATGAAGAATTTGAGCTTTCAGAGGTCTGTATAATCTGCTTTCTTATTCCATATCAATTTGATGGCGTTAGAAGTAAATACAGCAGAAAATGTTTTATTTATGACGTTGACTGTTTTTTTTGGTCAATAACATTGCCTTTCTAATAGATAGGAGGAAGAGGACATTACAATTAAATTCAGCGAGGATGTTTGCAAACTGTCTGTGAGGACTGATAAATTTCAATATTATTTTTTGGAAAATCAACATAATCAAGGCATAGTTGAATATGTACTCATGGTTATAAACCTTCACAATGGGAATATTGAATGTGACAAATAAAAGTTAACTAACATTGTGCAGCGAAGACCAATAACTACACTAACGGAAAAAGTGACGTGATGATCATTGAAGGCGAAACTGAGGGAAAGGAGAAACCAAAATTGATGTGAATTAGGATAGTAGAATAATATGGTAGGATATGAAACAGGACTCAGTACCCTTTTGACCAAAATGGACCAAAAAACACACCTGAATTAAACTCAATTTGTGCAAGGACTTGTTTATGTTAATTTGGCTAGTGAATTTTTTATATGGCAATATAATTCGTTTCACATGGTATAAATCCTTTCAAAATTGACCTTTGTATATCTTTACTTGCTCTTTGTTCCAGGTTGATGGCAAACACGATAATTATACTAGTTCTCAAAAGAGAGCAATTGATCTCGCATCAAGGATCCAATACCTTGAGAATGAACTTTCTGAGGCTTTAGAGGCCAATGCCATGTATAAATCCCAGCTTAGGAGGTAAGTACTAAATAATTCTCTCTAACCATATCTTAGTTTGCACATCCTAACAACTAATGCTCTCTGAAGTTATTTTTCCAACTAATAGCATCTCGATTAAAAGTTTTTCCTGTCTAGCAGTGGACTGCTTCCTTCCTTGTCTGTGATATCTGTTTGTCTAGAGTTATACCTGCATCACATAAAGCAGAACGTTCGTTTTTTATTTATCAAAAAGAAATAAATTTGAAATTGAAAAACAAAAAGGAGACTCATCAGCCAGTGATTACATTGCCACTTGTTGAAATATCGAAGCTCTCTTAGTTCTTATAAAGCATTCAATCCTTTTGATGAACTGTTTGGACTTTGAATGAGGCCTGCTCACGCAACTTCTGTCCTGTGCACCAAAATAGTTCTCTCTGAGTAAAGATGAAGCTGGTGTTGTGTCCTTTTTTTTTTTTTTATTGTGGTCTCAGAAACTGTTAAAATTCTTAGGAAACTCATTTTCACCCCCAAAATATTGATGTCTTCTGTCCGAACTGATTATATAAATGTAATTTTTTGGACCAGCTGTTGAATTTTGGGTTTCTCTAAAGAGCCTCAAAATCTGTAAAACTTTTACAAAAACCATTTTACAAGGACATATTGATTACTGCTAAATGAACAGTTTGCGTAACTGTAGTCTTAGACCATCTGTGCTCATTTTGCATTTCCGGAAAGAGTCAAATATTTGCATTTGCACTCATGCAGGTGCATGCCTGTGAGTGTGATGTTAATGTGAGAGATGAACATATGATTGTTGCTCTGTTATATACTAATCCTGACAAGCCCATTTTTGCTGTTTGCTTCTTCTGTTCAGTTTGTTGTCCCAAAGACAAAATAGTGAATCAGATGCTCCCAAGAAGTTAGAAGCTCAAGAGAAAGAAACCAACAAGGAAGAAGATAAACAGAAGGAATCATTTCTTGAGGCAGAGTTGAGAGAAATTCAAGAGCGCTACCTCCACATGAGTCTTAAATATGCAGAGGTAGAAGCTCAGCGTGAACAACTTGTAATGAAGCTGAAGACCATCAAATGTCAATGACGGGAGGAACTGATTTACGTAAACACGGGACTTGAAGTGAGTTTTCATTTTCCCTGGTCCCCCGATCACTTTTTTCCCTATCTGAACTCGGTTCTTTTAAATTCTAATTGCTCCAATACACAATCATAGAGAATAAACACATATATTGTCCATCAGAGAACCTCAGGCAGTGGATGAGGCTGCTGGTAACAGCTTAAAAAAAGAACAGAAAAGAAAATTGGTGATTTGAAAGAGTGATTTCATTTGGCATTTTTTTGTGGGGAAGAAATGAGATGTCTTGTACAGGATGTTACACTTCTGTATGTAGCTGTAGTACTGAAAGAAAATAGCCTTTTTTTGTCTACTCTCAGTTCTCAATTTCAAAGGTAATGTTCAGATGCCCAGTCAACTGCAAGCCTTATCAATTTCATTACAAGAGAAACCAGCATTGTTTTAGAAGAAAATTTCACCCGTGGCTTACAAACCAAACAATGCTTTCTCTTAACTATTTGTCGTCAAGTGTAGCAACTAAATGATATTTTTCACTATTTCACTTTTTAAAAATTTTGGACGTGTATCACATCTATCACAAAACCTGTTTGTGATAAAAGAAAATTGTTTCCGCTCATATCTTCTTGTAAAAGAATAGAGTGAATGAGAAAGCTAATGAATTTTGAATCCCTAATGAAAAGGGATAGGATAAATAGTTAGGGTGTTAAATAGATTTTTTGGGAATAGAGGAACTTGAACCCTCATGATTTCTAAAGTCGATAGATTTTTCTCTTCTTATAAATTTCATGGTTGCCGTTATTGTTCTTCAAAAAATTTACCCGACTATGGAGTGAATGATTTGATCAATGAATATTCAATTTTTTCTTTAAAGTAGAATTGATTCATAACAATCCTGTGTTGTTAAGAAATAAAACTTTAAAAAAAAAAAAAATCACTCCAAAGCAGTGTATTATAACCCGGCCCGGACCGGACCGGCGGGTTGACCCGGTTAACCGGTGAACCGGAGCCTGAACCGGGCCGGTTCAGCTATCAGATCGTTCGAGCAAAAGAACCGGTAAGGACCCGCTGAATCGGCCGGTTTTGTAATAAATTCCTTGACCCGTCCGGTTTGGATCAACCCGGACGGTTTAATTTGACTGCTATAAAAAAAGAAGTTCTAGCGTTCTAGGGCATTTTTGCCTAAAATTTTATTTCCTTGCCCTCTTCTCTAGTTCAACGACGTTGCCCCGTCCTCTGGTTCAACGATGTTGCCCCCTCCTCTAGTTCTTCGCGAAAGACATTCTCTCTCTTCCTCTGTGCTAGCTCTATACTCGGCTCAGGCCTCAACAGAACATCACTGATCACCCAGCCATCTCTTCGAATCAGTTCTTCTAAAGACTCAAATAGTAGATCTTTGAGACTTCGACTCACAGACCACAACAGATCTTCATCCTTCTCTTTCGTCTCGGGTATTAAGTTTCTCTCTCTCTCCTATATGAGGTTATTTGGTTGGTAGTTGTTGGTTGACTTCTCGTTGCGCTAGTTGTAACTGTTCTGGGCGGGTGAGGTCTTCAGTTCTTGGTGGGTTTAGTTTTGATGAAGTTCGGTGAGCACAATGAAGGCTTATTTCTATAAGAACCCATATTGATGTGTACTGGGAAACCAATTATTTGGCTGATTTTTTTGATGTGTTCGGTCTTCGGTGGTCTTCAGTTCATGTGTACAGGGAAGCCAATTATTTGGCTGATTTTTTTGCTAATTGGGCTGTGCAGAATGGAGGTTCTGCTGATTTTTCCCCTTTATTGAATATTCCTTTGCAGGGAAGGATGTTGTTGTTGCATGATCAATAGGGGGTTTAAAGTATTAAGGAGGAGGAAGTTGTTGATTCTTTGATTTTTTTTTTGGTTCAGCAGTTGCATTGGCAGGCCAGTCTGCCTTTTCTACTGATTGTAATTATTTGATTCATAAATAAAAGTGTTGATTTGTTTGAAAGAAAAAAAAAAAAAAAGTAAAGATTAACCCGTCGAAAAAGCAATTCTAGATACTCGACCGGAAAATAATAAAGATATTATTTTATGAATGCTATTATAATATGTTTGTAATTGTGTAATTACTTGATTTGAAGATTCATTCATCAAAGAATATTATGCTATTAGTTGATTTGTATTTGTAATTTTGTAGTTGATTATACTATTAGGTGTTAGAACTTTGAAATTGGAAGAATTTAATTATTTGATATTGGATCCAGTTTTGATGATTTCATATTGAGTTAGCAAATCGTCTTGAGAATTGTCAACCATAAATAAGATACTCTTTAGACTCGCTTGGTTGTCGTATTGTAAAAGAATGAATTGTATTAGATAATACAGATCAAGCCCATATAAATGAATAAAGTCAAGCCCGTATAAATGAATAAAATATATGATTATATACTGGACAAACATATTACGCATTATAATCTAATGTTTGGTAAAATACTGGATTAAGAATAAAATAATAGAATAATAATTATACATTGACTAAAAAACCATCAATTTTGTATAATTATTAAAGTTTTACTTTATTTATTAAATAAAATAATAAATTTATAACTTAATACGCTTGAATTGGCCTATAATACCATATCCCCAAGTGTTATTATAATCGACTTAATAGTATGAATGCAATGTACTATTTAGATAAGCAGTATATTATTTAAATAAAAATTTAAAATAAGACTATATATAATACAGAATATTTTTGCAACCAAATACTCCCTCCGTTTCTAAATATCTGTCGTTTAAGGTTTTTGTACAGTGATTAAGGAAGCTATTCAATACGTATTGGGAATGAAAGGAATATGAAAGACACTTAACCTCCACGTAATCTAATATATTGAAAAGTTAAGGATAAATTTGAAAAAAAAAATATTAATTATGCGTTAGTTTCATTAAACGACAGATATTATGAAACAAAAAAAATTGTGTAAAACGACAAATATTTAAAAACGAATGAAGTATTATATAAGATTAAATTAGGGTCTTAATCTATTATTGACTCTGTAATCCACCATTTAATACTACAACCAAACGACCCCTTTGGAGAAAAGCAACTGATAGGAAAAAAATATATCGAGGAAAATGTGTCCGGAATAAAATTCGGATTGTTTCAAAGTAAAATTTTAGCCACCACGTCCTTCCTGCTAATGTTCTACACGAAGGCATGTCTATCCTGCCATGGTATATCAGACTTTATTTTTCCTAAGAATACCAGCAAGAATCGAGTAGTAGAATAAAAAGAATTTACCCTGTAATATTTATTTACGCATGAATGAAGAATCAAAAGGTACCATTAGTTATTCCAATTATACAATGCACAAAGCGTTCCACATATAATTGGACAAACAACAGCGGTAAACTAAACACTACAGTCAAGAACCTGACAAACTTCTGACGGTAGCTCCTCGGAGTTGTATTACTCACCAGTTTTTGTTTCTGTTGTCCTTTACATTATCATGCACTCTTTTTACAGTATTGAGTAAGCTCGTATCACCTCAACAATTGGTGCCCGGCACAAAGGACACTTCCCTCCACCGCGAACCAGCTCGTTTGCACATTTGGAACAAGTGCACATGTGCCCACATCTGTGAGAGAGCAAAATTGAGTTAAACTATTGTCACAGTAGCTCGATTGTTTGTCGTAAGTTAGAACCGTATGTGAACATATATAAGCAAAGAAGCAAGCACACCTGTACAATAGAGAATCAATGTGGCTATCACAACAAACACAGCAAGTTCCTTTCCTGACATGACCCCATTTAGATCCTTCTTCTGAGGTCTCAGCCAAGCCTGCACACATATCAACATCTTGTTAGTCCCTCTCCTTGTAACTGTAACAATTTTAGAAATATGGTACCTAAAATCCAAACACAAGGAAAATATTAGGAACCCCAAGGAGATAGCAGCATTTTAAAATTTTCGTCCTATGTCAAGTGTTCTGTACAGCAGAGAAAGCAACGATGATTATATTGAGATTGTATATAAACCTTGTTCACCAGCTGATCGATTCAGAGCAGCAGAGACTTCCTGCCTGACTGATCGTTGCAACTCCAGTTGCATGTCCATGCAGGCCTCCAACATCCTCTGCATGTGGTTCATACCTTGCTGAAGCTTTGCCACGTCTGCTCTGAGATCATTGATCATCTCCCACTCCTGGTTCAAATCACCATCCAACTATTTAGTACGAACTCCAACGTGCAGAAACATACATCTAACACCAGAAATAGGTGGGTTGCATTAACGGGTTTAGAAACCTTGGGAGGGGGACCCAAAAAAGGCAACAGTTAAGAATAAACAATTTTGCAACAACCACTACAAGATCCTAATAGGATCATTTCTCAGTCCAGATCACTCAAAAAAATCCAAAACATATGAAGGATTGGTAGTTGAAATATTCTGACTCCACTTAAACCATCAACTGAGAGCATGACTGTTAACCGAAAATAGTCCAGCAAAAAGGACAAAGGTGCTCATACTAACCAAACTCACTCATTGTATTGCTCAAAACCCTCAACCTGTTGCACAGGAGAATGCTTTGAATGTCCTAAGAGTAGGAAGAGTTGCATGTTGTTAAGGCCAATTATAGTTCTGGTGAGATTGGACAACAATTAGGGTAAAATTGCACAATCATTTTGGAGTGACAACAGATGTAAATTTCATAGAAGGGGCCACCACTGATCATGTACAATTAATTGTGATAAAGTATCCTCGTATGGAGCCATTAAAGATGATAAATAGGTACATACGAATAATACATTAAACACTGATAATCCATGGTGACAACAAACTGCAACCTTTTTCTAACCCGAAATTATCAAAAAAAAAACATGATGCCTAATGAAACAGATTGAACACGTCCTGAAGGAGGTGTTGGAAAGTTCATGCGTTCAAGGATGTAGCGCCAAGAACCATAGATCAGAGATGGCTTACAAGTTCAGAACGATGCAGCATGCGACGAGGCCAACTAGAATGATGCAAATCCTGGTGCCAAAGTGGTGGTTGTGGTGGCGGCAATGGAGGAGATGGTAGTACCAGTGAAGGTCCGCCAGTCGCATCATGCTGATCTTCACTCTGACCATCTCTCAGCTGCTCCTGATCCCGCTCTGGTGAAGCAGGAGTGGACAAGTTTCCAGGCAGATCCCAATCAATTGGAGCACGACCTTGCCTGTCTACATATGACTGAATTAACTGGTCCAGACTCTCACGGAAACCACTGCGAAGAAGATTAGAAACACTCCTCCTACACCAAACAGAAATTCTTATCACATGAAAAGTCAAAGTAATGCCTAGACAACTCGAGCACATACACCAATAGAATGAAGCCTTTATATAATAACGTGATACCTGCTTAGGAGTTCCCTGAGTTCCATACTGTACACATTA